AGAGTTATTAGCATCTCAAAAAGCCCTATACATAATCAGGGTAACGACTTTCATCATGCATATAACAACTGTACTTACTTTTGTCTCGCAATGAGGAGAAAAGCCACGTACCTCTCCAGACTTTGAGTTGTACCCCTTCCTTTCTGCTGTTTATGGAACAATTTCTGCATTTGTTTATATTTTCTGACTGATAGAGCACATTCAACTGGTTTTATCTTCCATTCATGAAATGAAAAGACACACCCATGAATCTTATTCTTAATCCAGAAAAATGATTTGGCTTGGACCATTTCCATTAATCTTCCTCTAATGTTCTTTCCATTGTTAAACACTTCACCATTTCTCCAATACCATAAATACCATGTAGCCACAAGGAAGATACAAGCACCCATCTCCTTCCCTATTATCCTACCCAAATCATTCACAAAAATGTCTGCCACACTTAGCACGTTATTAGGCAAAACAGTCACCATGCCCCACCATTGTAGCACCTCAACCCAAAAAATCCATGCTTCCTTACACATACTAAACAAGTGATTAACTTCCTCCACCTTGTCCTTACACAACACACATTTTAACTCCTCTTCCTGCAAAGGTACTCCTTGCTTCCTAATATTCCATTTAGTTGGAAGCCTATCGAGGCTCAATCTCCACCCAAAGAAAGACACTTTTGAGGGTACTAATTTACACCAAATTAGCTTACTCCACTGCTTGTCTAGAACACACTCTATTGGGGCTAAAAAATCATAAGCATTCTTCACCCCGTATCTGCCCTCCGAATCATGAGTCCACCTCCATCTGTCTTCTGCTCTCTTCTTTAATTGTAGCCTCTCCAATCCTTCCCTTAATTTCTCCTCCTCATCCTTTTCTCTGCCTATTCTCTCTCTCCTCCATTCCATTTTCTAGCACCATTTATCTCCCTCCCATACCCCCATATCACTAATCTTACACTCCTTGTTCGTAGACAATTCGTACAATCTTGGGTATAAAACCCTTAAAGTTTTATTCCCTACCCATGGTTCATTCCAAAAGCTCACTCAATTCCCTTCCCCTACTTCCCACTTAAACCCCTCCACCAACATCTTTCTAAGATCCATAGAACTCCCCCCTATCTTAATGATATCCCTCCATATTTTAGACATCCTCTAGATCCTGAATGCTGTAATGTCCACCTCCTCCCACTTGCCTCCATAATATTTCTCCTTCACTATCCGTTTCCATAAGCTCTCTACACCATCCCCAAACCTAGACCACCACTTTCCTAAGAGAGCCCTATTTTTCCTACATAAGTCTGACACCCCCAATCCCCCTTTTAGTTTACTATAGCATACATAATCCCATTTCACCCAAGAGATCTTTTTTTGTGACTCAACCCCTCCCCATAAAAAGGTTCTCTGTATACTAATCAATTCAGCAAGCACAGAATTTGGAATTAAAAACAATGACATATAAAAAATAGGTAAAGCAGAAAGTACCGAGTTGAGCAGAGTGAGGCGGCCACCAAAGGATAGCGAAGCAGCTTTCCAGACAGCGAGTTTGGCTCAGAATTTATTTATTAGTGGCTCCCATAACTTCTTTCTCCTAGGGTTTCCATCAACGGGCAATCCCAAATAAATGAAAGGAGATTTCTCGACACCACACCGTAGCATGCCAGCTGATCCTTCTACCCAATTTACTGGCACATTGTATCCATAAATGCTGCTCTTACTGAAATTAATTCGTAAACCAGACATCAGTTCGAACCATTGCAGGATTGTTTTAACCATAAATACATTCTCTGTATCAGCTTTTCCCATAATAATTGTGTCATCTGCGAATTGGAGTAAAGAACACTCTAACCCCCTCCTGCCAATTTCTACACCTCGAAACAGCCCTTCTGTCGCTGCTTTTTGCACCAATCCATTTAATCCCTCTCCAATCATCAAGAATAAAAACGGAGATAATGGATCACCTTGTCGTAATCCTTTTTCAACCTTGAACTCCTCCGTCGGGCTGACATTAATTAGAACTGAAATTCTAGAAGTTGATAAGCATTCCATGATCCACCTTCTCCACTTGGTTCCGAAACCCATTCTATCCATCATCCATTCCAAGAATGACCAATTCACACAGTCATATGCCTTCGCAAAATCAGCTTTAAAAACAAAAGCCTGCTGTTTCTTTTTCTTTACTTCCTCTACCACTTCATTCAACACCAAAACCCCATCAACTAACTGACGCCCTCCCAAAAAAGCAGATTAATTTTCACTAATAATCCCCGGCAACACAGATTTAAGTCTATTAGCCAACACCTTTGCTAACAGTTTATACACACATCCAATTAAGCTAATGGGTCTATAATCCTTTAATTCCACCGAATTAAATTTCTTGGGGATTAAAGTTAGGAAGGTTGAATTCAGCCCACTAACCAATTTACCATTCTTATTAAATTCAGAAAAAAAGCTCATAAAATCTTCCTTTAAATTATTCCATGCAAATTTAAGGAAGGTAAAGTTGTACCCATATGGGCCTGGAGCTTTTGAGCCTTCACAACTTCGTAATGCTTCCTCAATTTTTTCGGTGGAGAATGGTCGTTCAAGCCATTGATTTTCCTCTGTGGATATTTGCTTGAAATTAACCTCATACGGCTTTGGTCTACTCCACTTATCTTCTTGAAATAGCTTGCTGAAATAATTCATTGCCTCCTTCTTTACCTGTGTTGGTTCTTCCACCCAGCTTCCGTCACACATTAAGCTTGTGATATGATTTTGGGCCTTTCTACCATTTGCAACTCTATGAAAGAATCACGTGTTTGCATCTCCCACACGTACCCAATTTCTTCTTGACTTCTGTTTCCATATCACTTCTCTCTTCCTCATTATGTCCCACATTTTCTGAAATCCTTCTTGTCTCTGCAGAATTTCAAATTCCTCCAAGTCAAGCTCCTCATTCTTTATATCAACCTGCTCAATCTGTTTTAACAGCCTGTTCATATTGAGCTTCCATGTCTCCAAAAACGTCTTGGTTCCATCCCTTTAAAAGCTCTTTTAACCCCTTTAACTTCTGTTTGCATTTGTACCCAGCAAACCCATCTACCTCCATTGCTTTCCATTTCTCCTCGATTATCTTCTTAAAATCTGGATGGAGTAACCATGCGTCCAAAACTCGGAATGGCTTTGGTCCCCAATCAGTTGTTCTTGATTTCAGCACAATTGCACAATGATCTGAGATGTTTCGTTTCAAGCCCTATTACACCCAATCTCCACCCATTCTGCTCATCTCTGCATTCATCAAAACTCTATCCAGTCTACTCATGCCTGTACCATCTGGCTTGTACCATGTGAAGCGCCTATTAACCATTTTGATATCTATTAATCCTGCTGATAGAATGAATGTGTCAAACTCCCTCATATCTGGGCTCTCCCCTGTTCTTCCCCTTCTTTCCTTAAGACATCGTACAGCATTAAAGTCTCCCACAATTAACCATCTTCCTCCCTCTTCTGTGATCATATTCCTCAGCTCATCCCATAACTTGAGTCTTTTCTGTCTATCATTTGGACCATACACGTTCACTAGGTTACACTTCACCTTATGAAATCCCCACTCCCCTGATATTCTCAGATAACCATCGCCTGTGTGATCTCCCGTCTTATCGAAATTCTTTTTGTTCCAAAAACACAATAAGCCTCTTGATGCTCCTATCGATTCCTTCATTACCCAGCCACAGTCTCCCGAATTCCACACTGTTCTACTCAAATCATCATCCACCCTTTCTAACTTAGACTCTTGCAGGAAAAGAAAATCTGGTCGTTCCTCTCTCACCAATTTTCCTATCTCTTTCCTCTTCAACGCACTACCCAAGCCCCTAACATTGAAAGAAATCAACTTCATCAACTAAAAACTCCCACACCCACCTACTCACTGCTACTGAACCCTTAAACCCACTACCCCTGTCGTTCCCCTGCCTCCTCCTTTTGTTCCAACTCCACTAACCGAGACTAGATTTCCTCTTCATTTTCTTGGGTTTGAAATCCCAATCTCTTCCCTACGCTCATCATCTTCCTCACCTCATGCAAGATCATCTCTCTTCTAAGATCCTTGTTTCTATTTGCAATGCAACCATCAGAAATTGAACAACTACCGACCAGATTTACCTAATTCGCTGACCCCGTTGAAGATTCTGCTCTCCCTTTGTGTCCTTGTTTTGCTCTTGCATTTGTCTCCTGCATCTTCTTTGCCCAGCTTTTCGCTAAGCTCTCTGGGTAACATTCCTTCAGCTTTCTTCTTCGTTTGCTCCCTAGTATCTTCAGATCCAGATCTGGTTTCAGTAAAATCCCCTCATCTTTTGACTCCTTGGGCCCTTTCTTTTTAATCCTCATCTTTTGTCCGTGGCTAAGGTTCCTTCCCAGGCCATCTGGATCTTTTGGTCCAATATCTCCCAACCCAATTACTTTTGTTTTCTTCGGCCCAATGTCTTTGGTCGGCCCACTACCCACATCCTCTCTACCCTCATTTACTTCCTCTGTATGCCGCCTCTCCCTTTCTTCCTCTGTATATATGAAATTTGAATTTGAATTCCAATGTCCATCCTTCATTAATTGCTCCTCATCAATGCTAACGTCCTCTTCGTCGCAGATTTTGAAGTTTACCGAATCCTGATCATCCTCGTCTATCTGCTCCAAAGAATACTCGGAAGACTGTTCCGAGGACTGGTCCGACTCCTATAGTGACTCACCCTGCCGCTCGTCATCCGTCAACCACCAATCTGGGTTGGATCGCCATTCTTCTTCCTCCACCAGAATCTCATACAGTTTTTCTTCCACCTTCAGTTTAATTCTTTTAGAAATCTTATGATCTGCAGAGCATATAACTAACATTCTCCCATCACATAAGATTGACTTCATCTTTGTATCTTCAGGGATCTTGATCACCTCTCCGACTGATTTTTCGATCATCATAAAGCATCTATCACTCCATGCTTTTAAAGGAATACCAAAGATACGTAGCCAAACCATTCTGCTTCGTTCCTGTACTTCCTTATCCCATGATTGGATGTCTTCAAACCACAGAGCTAGCACTTCTTTGTTGAGCTTCATAGATTCCAATAAGAACCCGGGTTCCTTTTCAGTTAATAGCACCCTTCTGCCCCCTAATGGTGCTAGAGTGATCAGGCCGCCCTCTACGTCAATTCTCTGTTGAATATCATTGATTATTGTTAGAGATTTGACGATAACCACCATGCTCCCTTCGAGCCATTGAAGTTCACTCTGCTCTGGTATAAATTCCATAATTTCCTCTTGTGTTTCCAAGTCCAGATTCTCCACCATCCGTTTTTTGGTATTTATTGTGTCGCAGGATGCCACTTCCTCCTTCCTTTTTTGTTGTCTTGCTTGAATTGGTGTCTTTTTTTGATGAGTAAAGTCCCTTTCGTCCCTTTCCATCGTTCTTCCATGAATTAGCAGATGTTGAGACTTCTGTTCTTTCCCTTTCACCGCCTGGGCATATGACTGTCCTGGTTGTACCAACCTGTCTACTCTGTGCTGTTTTCTGCCTCCTGTATCTACCTCCTTTACTCTCCCATTGCTTCGCTCCTTTGCCATTTTCACTCTCAGCTTGTATGATCCAAACCAGATGTCGTTATGTCTCCTCACCATCTGGTTGTCATTCTGAACCCCTAACAGACGCAGAAACCCATATCTTTTCCCCCATTTGTCTCGTTTCTTTGGCAGATAAACATCTAATACTTTCCCATACCTCTGAAAGCTATACCATAAGTCTTTCTCCTCACAATTTTCTAGAAAATTGTAGAAGAAGAAAGTCTTTATCTGTCCTAAAAGCTTTTGATCTACCCCCGGAATCCAACGCTTGAACCTCTGCCGCTGTCTGGTGCCGCTAGCCTCCCCTGTCGCCACTCCTCTCGCTCTAACCCTCTGACTCTGCATCTCGTTCTATGGATAAGCATTAAATCTTAGGTCATTACCCACAAATTATTCGTGAAACAAGATAGCAAGAAGTCACATAGAACTGATTACACACTCGGCAATGCCACCTATATCCAACACCAATAGTGCTAAGGACTAGGAAGGGCATCCATCAGTGCTCCACCTATTTCCACAAGAATGGTACATCTAATGCTTCATTGGGATACTTAAGAGATAGAAACCTTACTTTGATTATTCTAGATACCAGGCAACGCAACTCGAAAGGGGTAAGCACTTTGACTAATGCCGATGTCAATAAGACCAGTGGGTGGACCAGTGCTACCTTCCTTTGCGGTTCCAGTTAAAACAATTGGCAACTTCATCTTTGGATTGTGTACTTGATCTTGTCCAACCATGCTTCCACTTTTGCTTCCCTCTATAGATCCGTCTGTTTAGTTCCCAAGACACAAGTGGTCAAGCATAAATCATAACATAATGAAGTAATTGAATTAATTATTTGATTTAGAATGAATGAAGAAGATTTGAGGAGGATGCTGAGAAAGAAGATGAGGGTAAATTTGTAAATTTGATGGATTGAATAATTATATTTGTTTGATTAGGTGGCAAAGATTTATAGCCACGTCATTTGTTTATCTTGTTGTCAATTTTATGTATTAAATATTTAGACATGTCATTGTTATTCTGTCAATTAATAGGTCACTTCAGTAAAAATTTAATGGAAGGACCAAATTGGGGTTAAACAATAAGGATCAAATTTGGGATTTTTTAAGTTTAGGGACAAAATCAAGAGTCCGTACAATAGTTCATGGACCAAAATGGGGTTTTAACTTTTTTTTTTTTGATACATCTGATGATGAGTTATATAAGAGAGGATAGCCTTCCTTTATTCCCAAATCCCTCCCCGCTTGACTCAAAATTCAAATTTGAGATCTTTAATTTGGAGTTTTAAGTTCCTAACCATTGAACCATCCCATTGGGGTTCCATGTACTTTATTAATTTAATTACAAAGTCTTCTTGATAAAATTGTATTGAGTGTAGATTCATTTTTTGATAG